TCCCTGGCACGTGCTGCTCTGCAAGCTCTGGGGTGGCAAAGAAAGCCCAAGATTTCTCAACCCACAGCGTGAGCTGCTTGGCAGGGCACAAAAAAACCCACCCCAAAACCCCACGGTAGGAGTTACCCATTCTGCTGTTGGCTTGGGGCTGAGGACCTGATGCTGCTGTGGAAAGCGAGTGAAGTTGGCTCCGTAATCGTAATTCACTCGTGGTCATGTTTTGTTTTCAAGCAGTTTGCATTATCTGATTTCTCAAACCATGATAACAAGTTTCTGTCTTATGACCCTTCATCACTATAAATAGTTGGTATTTGTGTTATTGTTCAGAGTGTTCAAGGCAAATCATCACAGAGTCAATATTCTCCAGAAGATCCACAACCTCCAGTAATACCAAAACTCGAAAAAAGAAACTCTTTGCAGCAGCACTTGTGCAATGAGCTGCTTGAGGCTGGAGTTGCTCAAAGCTGCCTCAAAGAATGCTCCAAAAAGGCAGTGCAAGAGATTTTGGGTAGTGGATCATATAGTCAGAGGGGTTTTTGCATAGTTTTACATGATTAACTTACTTGCAAACAAACTTACTTGGGAAAACCTTGTCCATCCTCCCTGCTGGCTCAGAGCACACACTCCTCACTCCCTGAGACACCAGTGATGAGATCCCATTGGTTTCTCTAAGGACAGAAACAGGCCAGGGCTGTGAACCTTGGGAAATCCCTGCCAACAGCTGATTTTAAGGGAGAAGGAAGGTGGTAACACCTGTGTTTGCTTTGTGGCGTGGGAAATAGCCTCATGTGGATGATGACAACATCACTCACTTGGCCTGAGGCTGCATCAATGGCTCATCAGGAGACCCAGAGACAAAATGGTCTTACAGCAGCACTGGCCTCACCCACAACTTCACAGACCCTTCATAGAGTGGCTCAAAATGGCAAAGAACATGTGAAACTGGCAATAAATAACAGCCCATTCTTCTAGGATAGCAGAAGGCACCTGCAATCCCAGGGCAGAATCATATAATCAACCTGGTTGCAAAAGACCTCCAAGATCATCAAGTCCAACCCTACTGTGGTTCTTAGGCCAGGGCACTAAGTGCCACATCCAGTCTCTGCTTAATGGGCTGCAAAAGACTTCCAAATACTGGGAATTTTATATGTGCAATCTAAAATGTGCAAGTTTATCACCAAAGTCAAATTTGTCACCAAAACACTGAATCTACAGATGGGAACAAGTCTCCACCCACTGATTCTTTCATGTGACAATTCCACCTGAATTTAGATCCAGATGGAAGTTCTGGACCTTCTAAGAACTTCTTATGTAAGGTTCTCTCTGTGTCATGTTAGAAGTCACATTAAAGCCACAATAACATTCTCAATTCATGATTAACATCTTGGGTTTTGACATTTCAATGTTGCAAGATAAACCAATGACATTGGTTGAATTTCCAAAGACCAAGAGTTACCTCTTGAGGTCCATGTGAGTCATGTTGCAATTTCCATGCTAAGAAAGCAGGTTCCAGATGTGAAATGTCCAACGTCATGTCTTGCCACCGTGAAAAATTCTTGGGAAAAAAAAAAAGGAGTCGACTTGATGCTTCATCAGCAACTGTTAGTCATCGATGATGAGACTGATGAGAGAGCACATGCCATCAAAACTGTTCTCCACACAAGGTGAATGAAAGGACACAAAGTCTCTACTTCCTCCACAGCATCACTGGCAGCAGATCTTCCAAATCTGAAGGGATGAGAGATGGGAGAGGAAAGAGGGAAGCACATCACTATGACAGCCTAGAAATCTAGGGGACCCTCCAATTATCTCTAGAATAGATATTGCAGAAAATCACAGAATCATCAAGGTTGGAAAAGACCTCTAAGATCATCGAGTCCACTCTCTGATGAATCAGCACCTTGTCAACTAGACCAGAGCACCGAGTGCCATGTCCAGTCAGTTCTTGGACACCTCCAGGGATGGTGAGATACCTCCAGGGGTGGTGAGAGAAATCCAAGGTTGGTGAGATACCTCCAGGGATGGTCATACACAGGACACAAAGTTCCTCTGTCCAAAAGCAATGACAGAGACCAAGAAGGCCAAAAAAAATAATGTCAAAACTCGACACATAAATCTTGCCAACATAAGAACAGCCTCTTTAATTAGCAGGGTGAGGTGCCACCACCAGGACAGGACCCTGAGGACCCCTGACCCCTCATGCAGGCTCAGAGTACCCAGGACAACATCCAGGACAAACCTTTCCTCGTGCCACATTGTGGGGGAAAGTATTTGCCCAAAGGTCTCAGTTTTAGTGCAGAAACAGCATTCTGCTGCCCTGCTGTGCTCCTTGTGAACTTGCTGCTCTCAGAAGTTTGTGGGAGGTGGGTAAAAAGTGCATGAATGGCTTTTGAGTAACACGTTTTCCTTCCTGAAATGATCTTCTTGGCAAATATGAAAGCTGTTTCCTAAAGGTTTAGAAATACACCCACATCCCCCGGACACTCTTTAGGAAAAGGTGCTTTATTCATTCATGCAACCACTTTGTAGTAGTGCAGAGTCAATGCCTTTCCACAGCAGTAAGCAAGGGCTGAGTCAGAGCGAAACTTGCACCGTCAAGATCTCTGACGCGGCGAAGGAAACACAGGTAAACACAGCAGAGAATCACCGAGTTTCCTTTGTGGAACACACACATCTGACTTACGCTGCTACCAAACCCAAAACACAGAGCAGGTTCCAAAACAGGGAATTGCACAAGACTGAGAACAGCTCGACACCCTTTGGGTGTCAAGCCAATGACTTCATGGAGACCAACAGATTGCTCAAAGGACGAGAAGGTTGGAAATGAGCACTCAGCTCCTCAGCAGGATGGAAGGAGGTTTCTGGGGGTCATGGTGTTGCTGCACAAGCTCCTGCTGATGTCAGGGGAGATTCCCTAACTCCCTTTGCTTTGTATTCCATGAAAATATCAGCACTATGGCTGAGGCTGAGTGACCACTCTGCTGCAGGGGACCCAATTTGCAGGGGAGTGCCTAGGGCTGCATCCTTCAGCAGAGGGAGAAGATTTGATCCCTCCAGGATTTGGTCCAGGATATTCACTCCTGTGAGCATCACACCCACTGACCTTACAGTGGGGATGATGCTTCAATGCCCTGATGAAGCTTAAGAAGCCATTCAGGTCTTGGCTTTGCTGACCCCTGGCAGGTTTGAATTAATGCTAAAGAAGCAAAAAAAAAATCACCCAGGAAAAAGTAGAATCCTGCTTGGGGAAATTGGGTTTAAAACCACTGGGGTTTTATCTGAGCCTTCTGCTCTTCTCCTTTCTGTTGGCTTCTGCTGGCAGCCAAGGGAGAAACCACAGGGCTGAGTTAGAGCAGGGGAAGAAAAATGGGTCACCAAAAACATGACACATGCTGTGATTCAATGCAGTATTCATTGTTCAGCACAGTGCCTGCAGTGATTCACCAGGAGCACGTTTCCCCAGCACCCCTGGAAGGGGCAACAACAACAAAAGGAAAACAAATCCCAATCCAAAACCCCACACTGCTCCTGCCCCAAACCCTCTGGTCACTGAGGTTTCATCCCCTTTGCTCTTACTCACACATACACACACCAAACATTCCTCTCTTGCTCCTAAAGTAAAAAAAAAAAAAAAAAAACCAATCTCAAATAATACTTAGCATTTTTCCAGTTGGTTTTTCTTTTTGCAACAAGTTCCTTTGCAAGCATTTGCAAATTCAACTTGAAAGAAGTTCAGTGAAGGAGATGATGACCAAAGGGAGTTGGCCAAAGCAAAGTATCAAGGTAAGTTATGTCGAAACAACGAGAGGTTTCAAAGAAAACCCTGAATTCAGAAAGGCAAATTTTATCTTCCCTTTCACTTTCTTGGACAACAGATTCCTGAACTAATGGGTGAAATCTTTTTTTATCAAAAGGAAGCAGGAGTGTGTGGACTAATATATAAAGAAAGAAAAGAGAGGGAAGCGGAAAATGAGTGGACGTCAGAGGAATTATCTCCAGCTCTGAAAGGGGCAGTTTTATCAGAGCTGGACAAGAAGTCCCAGTTAAGACAGGACACACAGTCTGCACAGCCAGAGTTCCTTGAATGGGACTTGTGTCCTTTTCCAGGAAAAGAAATAGGATTTCAAAGAATTAAAAAAAGGTAAATATTCATGCTGAGGCACTTGAACACCAAGCACCAACCTTGAAATAGTGGCACAAACTCTGCTCCTGTCCTGCTGCTCAAGGAGAGCCTGGAGGAACCAGAGCAGTGATGCATCTCCACCAGGCTGAGAATCCCCACACATACACCAGCTGAAATTTGGGAGCACAGTCTTGGAGCAGTGAAAAATTCCCATTGCCTATGCACCAGCTGAAAAATAAACTCATTCCACCCGAAGCTTTTAGATACTTTTGTGTGTTTGCAGAGCAGCACTAAACACCAAAGGAGGAGACAGTATATTCACACAGGTGCATGAAAATTCTGCTGAGTGATGCAGCTGCAGGTTTGATAGGTTTAAAAGTAGAAACACTTCTTTCCTCTCCCCCCAATAATAGGACATTCATCTAAAAATAAAAAGTGACTGTGAGAAGGCAGAAGGAACCTCACACAGCACCTTGGCTGCTTCTCGTGTCTCTGCAGCTTTCTTCTTCAGCCACAGTTAAATTTACAAGAAGCAAGCAATGACAAAAAAAATGCAGAGTCTAAGCACAAAAAGAATTGATGGGGTGTGAGGAGAGGAGGGGGGTCAAGAGAACAGGAAACCCAAGTTGACGGGAAACCCAAGTGACATTTGGGTTTAATGAATGACTTAAAACCCCAATATTGCTCGTCAGGAAATGGGGAAAGGAAACGGAGTGATGTTTTGAGAGTATAAATTAGGGGCTCCATCAAGGTGAAAGCTGCAGAGCTGCTTTAGACCCTCCTGGGAAATCCAGCTGAGAGGGAAACAGCTTATTTCCACAGCTCCAGCTGCCAAGCCATGCCAGTCCTGCTCCTACTGCTCCTGGCCGTGGGCACCATGCCCATCCGTGGAGAATCCTCCTGCCGCCACTTCCACGAGCTCCTGCCCGCGAAGCTCAAAGAGCTCAGGGTCAAATTTGAGGAAATTAAGGATTATTTTGTAAGTATAACCCTGCTCGTCTCTTCTCCTTCTCGTTTTGTCTCTCTTTTTTTTTTTTTCTCTCGTTGTTGTTGTTGCAAAGTTCAGTGATTTGGTGGAGGGGGAAGAGCTTCCTCCCAGCAGAAATGATTTGGGGTGTGTTGCGTTCCGGGTGAGCAAGAGAAGTTGAGTTTCATTGCAAGCTGAGAGGCAGCACACAGAGGGTTTTCTTCCTAGTTTTAATTGCTGTGAACTGGAGAGATTTCATAATTAACCTTATGAACCTTCTTAGACTTCCCCTGAAGTCTTGCAAACCGAATTAATCACCCAATTAATAGGAAGGAAATAATCATTTCTTCAGGGCAACAAGGTCCAGCCTTGCTGAAGTCAATGCTAGGTGAAAAGAGAAACTTTTGCTACAGACTTTTTTCTTTGAAAGAACCACAAAAGCCTGCACAGGGTGTTGCATGACTGGAGAAATGCTGCAGTAACTGAGCACCTGCTTTGGTGGCTGTACAAGGTCAGTGATCTGCAGCTAAGAGGAGCCTCAAGGGGCTGAGAAAACAGCACAAGATGCACTCAGAGCATCTGTCATGGCATCACTACTGACAGAGACAGTTGGTCATGTCTTTGCCACTGTTTTAGGTAATGTCGGTGTGTTCTAGCAACAAAACAAGATAGTTCTCCAGATTAAATCTCAAACTCATGTCATGGCTTGTATTTATTATCCAACGAACACAGCCAAGACTTAGGATGTAAAGCTTGCTGGAAATCTCCCAGATCACGATGGGAAGGAATCTTTTTAACCTCTCAGGACAGCTTCTAAGTCCTTTGGTGCCATGGGGTGATGCTTTGGGTGGTGCCAACACAGCCCACTGCAGTTCTTTGGTCTTCCACAAGAACAAATCCTCCTTTTAGAGACTTACAAAAGCAACAAAACCAGGGGGGATTGAACCCTCCTGAGAGGTTGGGGTGGTTTCCAGGGTCTGCCATCACTTTGCCTCCTCTCTGAAGAGCATTGCAGCAGCACTGCTAGGTAACACCCTGTGCAGCTGATGAGTGTGCTGTGCTGGCAGCAGCCAGAGGAGTTTCACATTAACGAAATCAATGGCACTGAAGATTGTGATTTCATTTTCTGGCTGCCTTGACCTAACAGTCATTGTGCTGCAAGATTATGGACCAGAGAACTGGTGACTCCTGCACTTGGTATTGCTGGGCTCTGCACACACATCTGTGCTGGGTGCTCTGTGCCTTGGCTGCTGAGAGAGCATAAATGAAACAAGAAAAGGATGAGTTGAGAAGGCAGAGTGACAAGAGTGTTGCCTGCCTGCCTAAAGGAGCTCACCTTCCCATTGCATCCCACAGCAATCCAAAGATGATGAACTCAGCATTCAGCTGCTCAGCTCTGACCTGCTGGATGAATTCAAGGTAAGAACTACAATTCTCCTCTCTTAAGTCCCTGATCTTCCTCCATCCTTGGGCTGGGTGATTTCTAAGAGAGGAACCAGCCTGGAAATTGGGGCATGGTTTAGTGTCACAGCAGGACAGCTCTGCAGCCCAGCAGTGACACGTGGCTCCCCCCACGCAGCCACAGGCAGCAGAGCTCACTCTGGGAGTGCTCTGACCACCGCAGGGACTCTGATTTCTGAGCACACCCACACACATCTGTGCTGGTGGCCATCCCCAACGTGCTTCTCTCCTCTCCCTCCCCAGGGGAGCTTAGGCTGCCAGTCGGTGTCGGAGATGATGGGGTTCTACATGGAGGAGGTGCTGCCCAGAGCCATGAGGACCAGCACAGATCACCAGCACAGCATGGGCGACCTGGGCAACCTCCTGCTGAGCCTGAAGGCAATGATGAGGCAATGTGTGAGTGGGGGCAGAGCTATGGGCACAGCCCCAGGGCAGCAGCAGGGAGGGCAGAAAGTGCTAGGGCTCCCCAGGAGGGACAGGGGACAGGGGTGGTGGGATGGTGTGGAAGAGAAGGGATCCAGGTAGACAGGGGCTGGAAGAGCCCACGAGGATGAGGTTTCTGCTCACCAGGACTTCATCAGCTCAATAGTGGTGATGCAGAGGGTCTGCTCAGGAGCAGCACTTGCTGCCAGCCCCACAAAATGGGGCTGAAGAGAGAAGGAGGGATGTGAGTGGAGGGTCTGTCCCTTACCTGGGTGCCAGAGCAGCGTGGCTCTGTGAGGATGTCTCCTGAGATCACACCTGGTGTGGCCATGAACCGTCACCTGCATCAGGCAGGACAAACCCTGTCCCAGACAGAGAGCACTGCAGGCCACCTGGGGCTGGTAGCACAGGGCACAGGGCTGAGAACAGGTCCAGGGTCAGGTCACACCAGACTCCTTCCATCAGTACACGGTGCAGAAGAGTTGTACTTCTGCCCCCGAGAGTCCTGTGGCTGCACAGAGGGAAGGGGAAGGTGGAGAGTGGCAGTGACGAGGGGCAGAAGGAGGGGAGAGCTGCTGCCACACATCCCAGGGAGGAAATCCATGGGGCTGAAGCTCTTGTCCCTTTGCAGCACAGGTTCTTCACGTGCGAGGAGAGGAGCAGAAGCATGAAGCACATCAAGGAGACGTTCGCCAAGGTTAGATCCTGCTTAAGTGGCTATGCTGAGGGGGAGGAACCTGCTCTCATGGCAAGGCAAAGAACTTGCTGATGGCTCCAACTTAGGATGGAGAACAGAACCCAAAATGTCTTTAATTACCTAAATACCTAAGGCAGAGAAATCCCGTGGGAGCAGCCAGTGGGTTCCCTCAGGGAACTGGGCAGGGAAGTGGGAGATGTTAGTGAAAGGAGAACATGCCCAGTGGTTGTACATCACATTTATCATCACACTCAGGCTAAACCCCTTTGGCTTTCACCTGCAGATGAACAGGAATGGAATCTACAAGGCCATGGGAGAGTTTGACATTTTCATCAACTACATCGAAAAGTACTTGATGATGAAGAGAAGAAAGTGAGAACTCCCCTGGGGCTGCATTTTTCACACCAGAGCCTGCTACTTGGTCAGAAATCAATTTAAGGCTGCAAGAGCTCAGATTATAAGGTATCTCAGGGGTCAAGACAAGAATTATAGGTCAATAACTTCCAGTTCAATGTTGTATTTTAAACTTGTTTTCTTCGATAATCGAATTTAACGGGTTTAATATTTATTACTTTGAATACCTCAGTGTTTATGTTTACAAGATGTTTTGAAGAAGAACTTAATGAGCTTATAAAATCCTATTTATTGTTCACTATTTCAATGCTGTTGATGATAATGTTATTTTATAGCTTCAAAACACCCAAGGCAGCATTTTTCTGGAGAGCAGACAGTGAGCAGAGTTATCCTGAGTGTAATTCCACTCCTGATCAGGAGAAATTCCAGCTCCAAGTTCAGTGAAGTTTAATTTTAAGCACATGAAACTCTCCTCATGTTCTATGCCTGTATTTATTGATGTAATCAAATGGTTTTATGGGGAGGAGGAGGAGGAGGAGGAATTGCACTCCCATGTCAACATGAGATGTTGCCACAGCAACAGCTTGGTTAGCCCCATCTCTAGACTTCATCTGATAGATTAATCCAGATTAAAGGAAAAATATAGTATCAGGAATGAAGTGTTCAGTTCTAATAGAACTTAACTACTGCTCAGTATGTTCCTTCCAGAGCTGCTGGGTCAGCCACTCTGCACTTTCAAAAGTTAATCTTACTGTTTTCCAGTCTTTGATTGGGTTTTACTCACCATTTTCTTGGGTTTTTTTTCTCTTAGAAGCCAGAGGATATTTAATTAACCACCATTTTAAGGTGGTTTGGGTAGTTTGCATTCAAATCCATGAAGCTGCTTGCTTCATGCCACGACCCAGAGGCATTTGCTTCTAATATTTAGAAGTAAAAAGGGTCCCAGTAGGATGAAACACTGTCAGTTTGCTGTTTGCTTTGTAAGCTCCCAATGAAGACAGGCTATTTATCTTGGATTTATTCTA